TTTATATATATATATATATATAATAAAATAATAATAATAATAATAATAATAATAATAATAATAATAATAATAATAAAAGTTGGAAGGGACCTTGGAGGTCATCGAGTCCAACCCCCTGCTCAAGCATGAAACCCTATACCAGGGGTAGGCAACCTCGGCTCTTTTATGACTCATGGACTTCAACTCCCAGACTCAGGAACTCTGGGAGTTGAAGTCCATGAGTCATAAAAGAGCCGAGGTTGCCTACCCCTGCTCTATATAATTTCAGACAAATGGCTGTCCTGTCTCTTCTTAAAAACTTCCAGTGTTGGAACATTCACCGCTTCTGGAGGCAGGTGGTTCCACTGGTTAATTGTTCTGTCAGAAAGTTTCTCTTTAGTTCTAGGTTGCTTCTCTCCTTGGTTAGCTTCCACCCGTTGCTTCTTGTCCTGCCTTCAGGGGCTTTGGAGAATAGCTTGACTCCCTCTTCTTTGGGGCAGCCCGAGATATTGGAACACTGCTATCCTGTCCCCCTCGTCCTTCTCTTAATTAAACTAGACATACCCAATTCCAGCAACCGTTCCTTATATCTTTTAGCCTCCAGTCCCCTAATCATCTTTGTTGCTCTTCTCTGTACTCTTTCTAGAGTCTCAACATCTTTTTCACATTGTGGTGACCAAAACTGGATGCAGAATTCCAAGTGTGGCTTTACTAAGGCATTGTAAAGTGGTATTAATACTTCACGTGATCTTGAATCTATCCCTCTGTTAATGCAGCCTAGGACTCTGTTGGCTTTTTTGGCTGCTGCAGCACACGGCTGGCTCATATTTAAGTGATTGTCCACTAGGACTCCGAGATCCCTCTCACAGTTGCTACTATTGTATATGTATATATGTATATGTATGCATGTATATATGTGTATGTATGTATGTATATGTATATATTTATTTTAAAAAAGACACAAGTCTCCCATTTGGTTTTTCTTCCCCTCCACAAACTTATGCTTTTTATTAAATAAATAAATGAAGGGTATTCAAGGCAATATCACTTCACAGTGGAGAACCCTCCACAGCTTCAGCAGTGGTGGGGCAGGGAGAGAGGCAACCAGGAAATCGGATGAAAAAAAAAAAAAGGCAACGAAGATAAACGAATGCTTCGTAACAAAATAAAGGAATAAGGAAGCTGTCCTGATTTTCTTCTTTTGAGGAACAGCCTTCCTTCCTTCCCTCCCTCCCTCCCTCCCCATCACCACGGTATTCCTTAAAAAAAAAAAAAGACCCCCTCCAATGTAAACAAACTTGGAAAATTCATAGTATAAATAAGACATTTTCAAATATTAAAACAGAAGGAATGAAATAGGGCCATTCCAAAGGAAGCAAGGGACAAGATGTTAAAAGGATTCATCGGAGCAAAATATGTATATATATATATATATATATGTATATTTTGAGAAAGGGTATTATGAAGAAAGGGGATTGTATGGAGATAAGTGCTTGTTAACTTCGGCAACTTTAACATGTGTGGACTTCAACTCCCAGAATTCCCCACGTTAAAGTAGCCAAAGTTGAGAAGCGCTACATTAGATGGTGTTTGATTGGGGTAGGGGGATACATCCATCAAAAAGGGCCCAAACATATATGGCCCAAGACCCCTCTCTAACATATAGCGAAGGGCGAAGGTCACACGAGAACTTCCCGTTGCAATTGCAACTTTCTGCCAACAGGGGAAACCCGCCGGCAGACCTCTGCCCCCTACTGGTAGAATCTAAGAATGCAGCAAGAGAAGAAAACCATTCTGGACATTGATCTAAAAGGGGAATGTGGAATTCTTCTGGGTGACCTAAGAAATCATGTACCAATACACTGTTTGTCCTGGGTGGATTACGTGATCCTGTCGAAAGTTTCTGAGACCGCTGGACATATTAAGAAATCAAAAGTTGATCTGCCCCTTCAAAAGGACAGACTCAGCCCTGTGCAAAGGAATGGACAGGCATTCTCAAAACTGGGGAGGGTTTTTTTTTTCTCCACCTGACGGTATCCAGAACAATGATTGAACGTGTGAAGCCCCTTGAAAAAAAAATATGTAAACCCTGAGAGCTGCAGATCGACCGCCCTGGGGCGAGAGAGGGTGACCAAAACCCAGAACCCCTCCCCAGAATAGTCGAGGATTAAATGAGGAAGAGAAACGCAGGCAGGGAAGTGGGAACGAAGAAAAGAATATGGGATGTCAGCAAAAAGGAGCAGAATCGATAATACAATAACTCTTTTTTTTTGTGCTGCAAAAACCATGGTGAAACTCAGTAGAAACCAGGGTGGTTTTTTGGGGTGGGTGTCACTGAATGGTAACGAAGAACAGGAAGAGAAAAAAAGAAATAGCCCTAAAAGGGTTTTTTTTTTTAAAAAAAAAATCTCTGCTGAGGTGAAAGGAACCTGTAATTGTGGGACATCTAACTCACTCTCAGCTGAACCGGCCTAGGGCAGGCATTGCTGCTTGATTCACTCCACACACCCGTCAGCGCTGGGTCCCTAAGCGGATCCCACTATCTTGTCATCCCCACTTCAGTTTGGAGCTGCTTTTCCTTCCCGGTGAACCTAGCGCCCCAGTTTTGCAAAACTCTTTTTTTCCAGAGGCCCTCTCCAAGGTCTGTGGTGGGAGAGCCGTGAGTCAACCAGCGACCTTCCACTTCAAAAGAGGCCCGGGAGGATGAAGGACAATTAACTCTGTGACTCGATCCGGAACGGGATTAAAAAAAATTACCAAAAAAAATAATAATAAAAATAATTCAAACCATTTCTGGCTTTTCCCCCCCCCCTGCACCCATCTTCGCTTCCTCAAAAACATCTGGAGCAGAAACAGCCAACCAGTGATGCGGCGGTTGGGATGGAAAAGAAGGTAGGGGATGATGGGATGGCAGGTGGTTCTCATCTCCCCTTCGCTCCCGTTTTTAAGAGTTTTAAGGCTCCAGTTGTACAAAATTTGGGGAATAACTGCAAAGCTTGTGCTGTTTCTTATCCCGTCGAACTGGGAGGGGCAGAGGAGGATATTATCTTGAAGGGTATAAATGCAATAACCCCCCCTCTTCAGGATTAATTTTTTTTTTTTTAAAAAAGGAAAGGATCTGACACACAATCCGGTAACACCATTGAGAAGAGAGCTGTGTGTATGGCACTGTCTGTCCTTGCTAATCCTGCCAACAATTTTGACTGGTCAAAACAACCAAGCTTGGAAGAGGGGGGGGGGCTCTATATGCTCACTTTCCCTCTCTTACCCCCCCCCCCTCTAAGTCTGTTTGGCACACCGAAGAAGCAGCAGTGCTAGAACTGCCACAAATGGACTAGGCCAGGGGTAGGCCATCTTGGCTCTTTTTACGACTCGTGGACTTCAACTCCCAGAATTCCTGAGCCAGCCACGCTGAGGAGAAATGGAGAGGTTTCCATGCTGAGCCATGCCGGCTCAGGAATTCTGGGAGTTGAAGTCCACGCGTTATAAAAGAGCCAAGGTTGCCTACCCCTGGACTAGGCTATGAAAAATAAATTCTCTCTAGCAAAAATAAAAGACGTTAAATCAGAGGGGTGTTTTTTTTTTCTTCAAATCTCTCCCTTGCCTGAAATTGCTCTGCTAACATGGAATGTATGTTTTTTGGGGGGTGGGTGGGTAAAGAGGTGGGCAAGGAAAAATGAGGGCCACTGAATACCATCCAAAGGTGTTGCTAGGCCAAATTCCTCTTTTTTTCCGCTCCTTACTGCTTCGACGCCACGCTTTCAGCCATTCTTCACTAAATGTGGCTTTATCGTCACTCAAAAGCCTTGCAACCAATTAATAACGTAGGGCAGTTTCTGAACCAGGGCAACTTTCAAGATGCGTGGATTTCAACTCCCAGAATTCCCCAGCTAGCATGGCTGGCTAGGGAATTCTGGGAGTTGGAAGTCCACAGGTGCTGGCTAGGGAATTCTGGGAGTTGAAGTTGCCAGGGTTGAGAAACACGAGGATCGGAGAGACGTGCCCCCCCTTTTGACTGTTTTCTGCCCCCAAACTGCACATGACTTGGAGGAAGCCCCCAGCAGATAGAGGTCACAGGGAAGAGAAACAGGACCCGACAGGGTTTCCACTCGTTCTCACAACACAGGGCGCAATCACAAAATTTGGCAACAAGTCGTTTCACGTACGCCTGTGTGCCTGTGTAGCCACCACACTCAGACGCACTCACCCACCCGCACCCAATCAGGTGTACAGAAAAGACCAAACCAAGAGAGGCACCAGTCCTGAAATTAAAATTTAGGTATTCTCTACCCCAGGGGTCCTCAACCATGGCCACTTTAAGACTTGTGGACTTCAACTCCCAGAATTCCTCAGCCAGCTTTGCTGGCTGAGGAATTCTGGGAGTTGAAGTCCACAAGTCTTAAAGTGGCCAAGGTTGAGGACCCCTGCTCTACCTTATTTTGTTCTGGTGATTAGGAACCCCGATGCATTTTACCTCTAGTCCTGCACTCCAGGAAACCTTGCGTTCCACCCCCGGATATCCAGCCCCCCCTCTTCAAAGTGCTCGTGGTTTGCCTTCCTTCCTACAGTGTGTCCATTCTGGGGCCAAAGCACCCCCCCCACCCACCCACCCCAGCAAATGTGAGGTGTTTGGCTGGATCTGGAGACGGCGAGTGGGGGAAGACTCTTCTCTGTCCCACATGGCTTTTGGGGTCCCCGTCCGCGATGACCCCATGGGGGCCACAGTTCCCTTCTGCCAGCTCCTGGGATAGCTGCACAGGAGATTGTGACGGCGGAGGTGTTTGGTTTTGCTGGAGACACATTGGAACTTCCGGGGTGTGTGTGTGGGGGGGTGAGGCTGGAGGGGAACCGGTGCTCCTTGGGTTTCGGAAGGGGAGGAGCAGCAGCAGCAAAGGAGGTTCTGTCACCGAGGACCCGGAAAAGATCATCATCAAGCCAAGATTTTCCATCTCTCGTTCCCCTCGTCTCCCCCAGAATCCGAGTCAGCTCCTGGCCTACGATGGACCTCTCGGTGGCCGCCGTCACTGAGACACGGAGTCTGAATGGGCCTCGGGCGCCGGACAGGGCGTCTGAGTGTCCAGGAGGCTATCGACTTCTCCAAGACCCAGGAGGCTGAAATCGGGGACGGCTAAGGACACTTGCGCAGGGGCCACCAACGTCTCTGGATCGCTCTCCAGTCCCGTGTGGCTGGAAATTNTACTATTATTACTACTACTACTATTTTCGTGCCCCACCCTGTGGCGCGGTGTCCTGTTTTTGCGGCTAGCGCACATGAGGGGGTGTGCGAACACACACGCACACACTGGCCAGCCTGTCCCGCCGCACGGTGGCCAGCAGGCCGCGGCACACTACTGGTTGGGGACCCCTGGCCTAGTCCATCTGGCTTCCCCAGTGATTTTGCCTGTCGAAAGGTCACAAAATGTGATCACACGAGCCCAGGACGCTGCAGCAATTGTCACAAATATGAGCCACTTGCCAAGTGTCCGAATTTTGATCAAGTCACCACGGGGATGCTGCAACGGTCGTACGTGTAAAAAACAGTCATAAGTCACTTTTTTCAGTGTCCTTGTAACTAAATGATCACTAAACAAATGGTTGTAAGTGGGATCACCTGCCTCCAGAAGCTGTGAATGCTTCAAAACTGGAAGTTTTTAAGAAGAAACTGGACAGCCACCTGTTTGAGATGGTATAGGTTCTCCTGCTTGAGCAGGGTGTCAACTTTCAACCGAATTTGGCTGCAGCCATCTTCACTTCATTTTTGGTTGCCATAGTAATGGGAGGGGGGAGATGTATTCTCTTGTTTAGACATAACAATAAATTGTTCTGTGGGAACCAAGGTCAAGTATCTAAGTTTTGGCGGGCTGAAGCTACCGCCAAACTAGTTAATTGGGGATTGTGATTTATGACACCCTGCAGGGGTGGGAAATTTAACTTGTAACTTTGTAATCTTTGGAGGGGGGGGAACTTTCAGTCTTGTTCGTGCCGATACTATGTAGCCATTAAATGTGTTCTTTGAGGAAAGCAATTGCCTCGGAGTTCTTATTTCTACTGGTCTCATCTACCAGAACCATGACACAGAGGGGCTGGACTAGAAGACCTCTAAGGTCCCTTCCAGCTCTATTCTATTCTAAAGGCAGTCAAGGACTATCTGTATTTAAGTAAAGCAAAACTGACTTCACTGAACTCAGCTCAGCTCAACTTACCTCATCTCCGGATTGTTACACAGCAATGTTATATATTTTTACAGTAGTGGCCAAAATTGTGGAAACCTTTTGGGAAAAGTGTATTTTTGAGGTTTGATGGCTAATAACACCACTTTTTTTTTTGGGAGTAGTACCATAAAATTATATATCAATGGAAAGATAATTTAATCAAGAATGTAATGCAACACAGTTTGTTCAATTATCTGTACTGAATTCTGTGAAAAGTTATAGCCAAATAACCAGAAAAAGGAAGCACAACTTGCTTAGGTTGATATCAGGTAGCTTTCTTTCATCTGATTGTAGCCAATGAGCATGAGTGTTTAGAGAGCCAATCGGGTGTCATCTTGTTCTGGCAATGAGCCAATCAGATCACAGTAGGATCCGGTTATTGATGTCCTGTATTGAAGCTGAGAGGAGGACATTTGTCAGTGTGTTATGTGATCGCTATCAAGTTGGTTGGGGTTTTTTTTGTGTTCTTTCGTTGAGTGAGCTTGTAAAACATAATAAAATTAAAGTCATGGCACAAAGAGTTGACCGGTCGCCCAGAAAGTGATGTAAAATAGTATTATTAAGTGAACAAGGCTACAGTTATAAAGAAATTAGAAGAAAAATGGGTGGAAACTTAACCAAAGGTGGCATTTCTACTGTACACTTTTCCCAAAAGGTTTCCACAATTTTGGCCGCTACTGTATATGAAATGCCTCAAGTTTTTTTTGTCTACGGGAAAAGCACCTTTGGGAGGATCAAGTTTTTTCTTCTTCTTGACGTGCAGGAGCTAGAGGTGGCCTTTATCTAAACCCACGCAGGTTTTCTGTTCTTAGGAGACAAGCGATCCTACTTTTTCTTTCTGTGCACCCACCACGCAGAACTAACCACCCAGGTTTTCTGGGCTTGAGAAGAGGCGCCATCTCGTAAAGATGTACCTGTGGTCTCCATTGTTAAATGATCCGGGTTGAAACAGGAGTCCAGGCAGCTGGTGGCCGACGCGATGGGGGGAGAGCTTCGTGCGCGGCCGGCACTTTCCACTTCCCCACCGTCCAAAAAATTATCCGCGTAATCCCTAGAGAGATCGAGAAGACAAAAGAGGGGCAAACATGTAGGTGGTTTTTCCGCAGGTACAAAACAGATTACAGGTAGCCCTCAACTTCCTGACAGTGAGAACAATTAACCAGTGGAACAACCTGCCTCCAGAAGCGGTGAATGCTCCAACACTGGAAGTTTTTAAGAAGAGACTGGACAGCCATTTGTCTGAAGTGGTATAGGGTTTCCTGCCTGAGCAGGGGATTGGACTAGATGACCTCCAAGGTCCCTTCCAACTTTATTATTATTATTACAAGCACAATTGAGCCCAAAATTTCTGTTGTTAAGCGGGTTTTGCCCCATTTTATGACCTTTTTTTGCCTCGGTTGTTAAGTGAATCACTGCAGTTGATAAGTTAGTAAGTGATGAATATCTGTAGCTCGGGTGGAGGATGAGGGTGGAGGTTCGTTCTCCGAGCTTGTGGGTTTGGTTTCCGAACGTTTCGTTACCAGGCTAGGTAACATTTTCAGCGTTTAAGGGATGTTGGTGTTCTTCTGTTTATAAGGGGTTCAGGTATGGTCAGTAGGTCTTGTGACGGGTCAGGTGTGGGTGTGTCAAGGGAGGGTCTTGTGAC